TGATATGATTGGAAGTGAAAGTTAAAGTACTACTAAACATAAAGGATGTAGAGTATAGAACTGATTACATATAGGGTTGAGTGCATCAGCAAAAATAAAAGCTTGCATCCTGTGCATCCTGTACATCAGACACACAGGATGCACAGGACGCAAACAGTTAATCAGAATGCAAGACAGCCACTGCCGGATCTCAGGACGCAATGGTTCTTGGTGGCAGAACTCAGGATGCAGCCAGAACGTAATAGAGCCTCAGTGCCAGAACTTAGGATGCAGCCAGAATGCAAACAAGTACTACAGTGATTTACAGAATGCAATACCAGAATTAGACCTTGTGACCCAGGTCACATGTGTAGATTCTGAAACCTTTCAAATAAATAGCATTTCTCATCATATTCGAGTCAGTTCTATAATGCCTGGTACAGAAAGAAACTACCCCCCCCCCCAACCCTTCACTATGAATCCGGCCAGAACCACTTAGCTTACAGGTAATAACTGTACCAGTATTAGTGTCAGAAAGACGTCTGGGGCACGGTTAGAAAGCTGGCAGTGAGCAGGATTAGGCTGTGGAGAATCACATACTATGCTCAAAAGACACATGAGGAATCTAGTATTAAAGTCAGCACTCCACCTGGAGAAAGACAACTTGCAGAACAGGATGTAACTCAACCAATATTGGCGCTGGGTAGATGTCTGAGGTACCGTTGGAAGGCTGACATGGAGCAGAACCAGGCTGCAAAGTCTCAGACTCTGTGTCCAAAGAGTATCTAGGCAATCTGGCATTAAAGTTAGTACTCCACCAGAACTCACCCATAACCCTGACAGGGTAAAGATGACCTTCTTTACTGGCTATAGCTCTGCCACTAGTGGCGCCAGGGAGATGGCTGTGGTACCATTAGAAGGCTGGCACTGCATAGAACTAGGCCGCTGAGTATCAGATCCTGCTTTCAAAGGACGCCCAAGCAATTTGGCGTCAAAGTTAGCCCTCTACCAGGGCAAAGACCACTTTAATAACAGGCTGTAGCTCTACCACTATTGCTGCCAGGTAGACATCTGAGGTACCATTAGAAAGCTGGCATCACGTAGGATCAGGCCACTGAGTATCAGACACTCTGTCCGAAGAACACCTGGGCAATCTGGCATCAAAGTCAGCACTCTGCCAGAACTCTGCTACAGCAAAAACCACTTTCAGAACAGGCTGTAGCTCTACCACTATTGGTGCCGGATAGATGTCCGAGATACTGCTGGAAAGCTGGCGTCGCATAGAATCCGGCTGCCAAGTATCAGATGCTACATACACAGGACACCTGGGCATTCTGGTATCAAACTTGGCACTTTACTAGGATAAAGAGCACTTTCATAACAGGCTGTAGCTCTACCACTATTAGCGCCAAGTAGATGTCCAAGGTACCATTGTAAAGCAGGTATTGTGTAGAATCTAGAAGCTGAGTATCAGATGCCATGTCCAAAGAATGCCCCGGCAATCTGCTGTCAAATTCAGCACTCTACCAGAACACTGCCAGGGTAAAGAGCGCTTTCAGAACACACTGTAGCTCTAGCACTAATGGCACGAGGAAGTCATGCAAGATACCATTAGAAAGCTGGCATTGCATAGAACCAGGCCACTGAGTATGAAATGCCCTGCCTCCAGGATACCTGAGGAATTCTGTGTCAAAATCAGTACTTAACCAGAACCTTGCTAACTTGGCAAAGCAGGCAAAGTCAACAACAAAGTCCGGAATACAGGAGAGCAAGAAGAGCGAGCCAGTAAGGGGGCAGGTGGTAGAGGGGAGCCAGTAACAGGGGAGGTACAATGCAGGATGCTGGTAGGGGGGAGCTGGTATGTGGAGAGCCAGTAGGGAGGAAGCTGATAGGGGGGGAACCAGTAGGGGGGAGGCAATAGGGAGGTGGTAAAGGAGGAGCAGTTAGCAGCTGTATTTATCACTCCGAATCTCAGGATGGTAACTAGGGAGCATCGCTTTGTTAGGCTACAATCTGGACATGGCACCTCCTGGTATAAATACTAGGATGTACAGGATGCAACCAGACTTGGCACTCGAGTACCAGATGCACAGGATACATCAGGTACAGAATCCTACTACCTTGCGTCAGGACCTACTGCCTGCCGCTCTGACACAGAAATAATTTTTGCTAATGGGTTATATGTTGGATCAAACCAGGTCTCTCCTTTGAGTGCAAGGTATCATACCACTGGTATTACACAAATGTAATGCCTTTTGTAATCAGGATTTGGTAATTCCTACAACTTCACCTAACCTCTTTAACAATATCATAATATAATAAAAGTACCAAACAAGGAGTCATAAGAATAGTCTTATAAACTGACGCTAACCAAGAGGACAAATTGTAATTGCCTATTGTAGTAACTGATGGAAAAAGAAGTTGAAAGCTTATTGAAAAATAATGCTATGATTTCAAGACTCATAAAGTGTATATTCAGTATTCTATCTGTTTGAATATAAATTTATAAAGAAAAACTACAGCTTTCTGAAAAATTACTCTAATCCTGATTACACAAGGTATTACATTCATGCAACACTAGTGGTATACATTATAGACACCTGGCATCATATATAAAACAGGCTACAGATGTTGTTAGTAGTTGAAACATATTTTCTAAGCTTTTTAGAGTATGCTCTAGAAGCCTATCTATTTGGCCATGCTAAAATAAATTTTTTGTTATTGGAGGCTAATGTGTAGGTTCAAATAAAACCATACTCATAATTATAATAGCAGAAATAAAAATTAAAAATTAAAGATTACAAGCCCAGACAATATAATACAGTAGGGTTATATATCCTATATAGCTATACTACTATGCTTCTGGCCGTCTATACTATGCACCTGAGATTTTGCAGTGGGGATGGCTTGGCATCAAAGATTATATACATAAGTTCAACTTCTTTCAGGTTCTTAGTTTTTAGAGTTATTGTCAAACCACAGTAATTTTTGAAAGTGGTAAATCATTTTACATTTGTTTTCTAATGGCTTAGATTTGCCTGATACATCTATAATAGTTTATCATTTCCAAAAATTACTCTAGCTTAACAATAACTCTAAAAACTAAAAGCTTAAAAGGAGTTGAACTTATGTACATAATCTTTAGTGCCAAGCTGTCCCCCATTGCAAAATCTGAGGTTTACAGTATAGCCGGCAGTAACTATATTTTTATAAGTTATATCCAGTACTGTATCAAAAATTATTATACTTGTTTGTTTACAAACTTTGTATTCAGTCTAGTCTTCTAGAACTATATATAAATACACTTAAGGCCTAGTGGCCACCACATAATTACTTACAATTTATTTTTAACTAACTGATTAACTTCTCTATAATAATATATCCATTCAACCTATGTCTATGCCAGTGGTTTAAGAAAGTAATAATCCTTCTCAGATATTGTAAGTTGTTATATTTTATTTATTGTACATAATTGTAATTCTGTTGCTAGCTAGCAAGTAAATACAGCCACTCGTCAGAAGTGCTTGTAAAACATGCAGTATTAGTAAGCTGCCTCGCTACAATCCCACAACTACCTACTTATAATACAGTAATAAAGCTACCTACCTACAACAATGAGGATATCCACTAGTACCTATCAAGATCCTGCAACTCTGAAGTTATTTCTATAGGGTTCTGTGCTGCTCTTATTTTTTGATTTTTTTAACTATAATTATTAAACATGAAATAGATAGCCACTAGTATTTTAATAAATTAAAAGAAAACTAAACATATCCTGCAGAAATATGATTAATACTAAGAAGAGATAGCAATTGCTCTTTTCTATTAACTCTAGAATATCATCCTGATTTCTCAAATTCTGGGATGACTCTGTTAGTACATTCCTTTTAAAATATACTTCTCTTATTGCTCTAATTTGGAGCCTACTGAATCCAAATTGGTTATGCTTAAAAAATGATTGAACTAATAATACTTGGTAATTTAAGATATCCTACAGCCACTAATCAGAAGTATTTGTACTCTGAGACCTGTCTAATTGCTATTGCATAATTGAAAAGATCTGACTATGAGGTAACAGTGGATTGATTCATTGTGCATTATAATAATAAGTAGTATGATTAAATAGTATAGATCATAAATACAACAATTTTTTAAATAGTAGAAGTAGACATGCTAGCCAATAATTTGTATAAATTTTTAGTATTAATTATTTCAAGTTCTTTTCATAATATGTTTAGTCTTCTTCTAGTTTATTTGAATACTAAGGGCTTTATATTTCATGTTTAACTATTTATAGTTAAATAAAATTAAAAAATACGAGCAGTACAAATCTCTACAGAAATGACTTCACAGTCGCAGGATCTTCACTATCACTAGTGGATATCCTCATGGTTGCAGGCAGGTAGCTTTAATATTGTAGTAGTTATTATACTGTGATTTTGGCAAGGCAGCTTACTAATACAGCATGTTTCACGAACACTTCTGACAAGTGACAGTAGATAGAAATGGTCAAGTTCTTAGTAGAAATTGATTATAATACAGTTATTAGTAGCTTATTGTATTATAAGTAAGGACATAAATATTCAAATAATAAATTATGTGCCAAGCAGGTCTGTTATGAAATGGATGGTTTTGACCCTTTCTGAAGAGAATGGCTGTCACACTGTAATTTTACCAAACACCAGTTTCGTGCTCCTGTTTTGAAATAGAAGGAGAGCGGTCATTTGTATGGGGGAACGGAACCGAATGGTCGTTGCCAAAAACGCCCTTACAAGTTGGCGAGTAGCTGCAACCTTGGCACCAGTATGATAATACTATCCTTTATATCTGTACTCGTACGATAAATACCACAGACCGACCCTTCACAACCACCACCACCCCTGTTTCCCAAGTCCCAACTACTCCCCAGCCAAAGCACACCATACCACACTACCCAGCTGACGTGAGAGGAGCGGGGAAAAGAAGGGGAAAGAAAAAAAAGGAGAGAACAGTGGAAAATAAAAAAAATAGGGCATAAAAAAATGTCCCCCTACGGCGCCCCCCGCCCAAAATCAAAACCGAACCCAATCCCCCTCTCCCAATCCCCCATCCACGCGCTAGCAGCCGAACTCTCTTTGGCCCGCACCCGCCCACGCCCGTCCCGCTTGGGGTCATTGCAAAAGCCACTCTCGAACCGGGGCATTGCGACGCGCGCCGCGAGGGACGAAGTGGACAGGACAACCAGCCGGGATATAGGTGGTGATGTGGATGAGCGTGAATTAGCCCGCAGTCGGAAGAGGTTAGTTGTCAAGGCGGAGGTTTATGAGCGGTTGCGGAAGGGCAGCGGAGGAGATGGGCAGGAGGAGGAGGATGGGTTAGTAGATTTTGATAGAAAGTGGGTTGAAGAGGGCGAGCCAGAGCTCCACTCTTCTGCATCCTCTTCCTCCTCCGATGAGGAGGAGCAGGATGGAAGAGAAATGGTAGAGCACACAGATGACCTAGGCCGCACTCGAGAAGTCCCCAAAAATACCCTCGTCCGCATACTCCGCCGCGAAGCCCGCGCCAAACAACGGGCGCTGGACCAGCAGGTACCCCCCTCCCAAGCCTACAACTACCCCGCCTCACAGCCGCCCCAGGAGTCAATCTCCTATGGGCCAAGAATCCAAACAGGGGCTTTCCGGTCCGCGAATTTCTCGTCGGTTCCTACTGCGGATATGCTCGCCGCGGCAATGCGCATTGAGGAAGAGGGAGTTGAGGAAGTGCACTATGATGCTGCTATGGAGGTGCGCACAAAGGGTGTGGGGTTCTACCGATTTAGTAGGGATGGGGAGGATAGGAAGAGGGAGTTTCAGGAGTTAAATGAAGAGAGGCGGCGGACGGAGAGGGAAAGGGAGAAAATGGCTGAAAAGAAGAGGAAGAGAAAGGAGGATCAGGAGAGGCGGAAGGAGGAGGTTAGGAAGAAGCGCAGGGGGAAGGTTGGGGGTACTTGGCTAGAGGGGTTTATGGGAGAGCTGGGGGGGGGCGGAGGCGGCAATGTGGTGGAGGAAGCTAAGTAGCCTTGGATTCCTGGCTTCATATTTGGGCTGGCATTGGTGCAAGGGATACATTTTTCAGTGGTCTCTCATGTCCTTATAGAATTATCTGCACACTACACGGCCCCTCCACTCGGGTACCTAGCAGTATTATAGTGCCGCATAACCAATCAGCCAACCCCATGATCCACCTCCTCATCACTTAAGCGCAAGTTCCGTTTATTTGCCCTCCACGTTCTTATGCCACATACAAAAGATTTACGCCACCTCCCCGAAACCATTTATCAACGAACTTAAGCAGCAAACGCCTCAGGGAACCTGCGCATGTTGTCCTCCAGCTGCCCATGAGGCCTCAAGAACTGAACATACGCTCCATCAACCTTGACCTCACCTGCCTGTCGCTTCTCCAGGTACTCATCGCGACGGAGCGGAGTGAAACCCCAATTCTTGGAGACGATGATCTTCTGGCGACCGGGAAATCTAAAAGTATATTAGATCCGTACAAATATAACAGCTAGATAACACACTTATATTGAGATCTCCTCAGAGCCTCGATAGCGGTTGCACGATGCGTATCCCGTGTCCTCACAGACAGAATGATCTGACCAATATTGACACGGGCGACAGTCCCATTAGGCTTGCCCCAGGCGCCACGCATGCCAGTTTGCAACCTATCGGCTCCGGCGCAAGACAGCATCTTGTTGATACGAATGACGTGGAAGGGGTGAGCCCTTGAGTAGTGTTAGCATGTTCCACATGGCGAACAAAATATATGGGATACATACCGGACTCTCATGTGGAAACCGTCCTTTCCGGCAATCTTGACAAGATACTTGTTGGCGCAAATACGGGCAGCCTCGAGAGCCTAATCCGTAGTCCAAACTCAGCTTCTAACTCGCTAATTTCCACCGAACAGCACTGCCCCGCACCTCCCACCATTTGATGAGGAATGGCCCATACCTCAGAAGAAAGTTGTTCGTACTCGTTAGAAACCAAGTGGACGCAAAGAGGGAATTCGTCAACACCAGCACGCTTGCGCCCCAAATCAAAGATACGAATCTTGGGGTCGGGAACACCACGGTTGAAGCGTGACTTGGGGTAGGGCTTGTCTAGAAGATAAACCAATTAGTATCCACAACTTGTTCCCGAATGCTTCCCAACGCTCACGATAGCCTTCCTGCCATAGAAAAAGGAACCGAAGTGAATCCTGCTCATTCAACTACAAATCACTACCACCCAAATGCCACTTCGCTCCTCTAGCATTCCCCTCGTCCAAGGCTCTCCCCAAAGAAATAAATCGTCGAGAAAACTATCAAACTTACTCTTGCAGTAGCGGTAGCAGCGAGCGGGTCTGCGGGCCATATTTTCCGATTTCCTGGGTGAATTAGTGGAAGGATGTGGATTGGGTGACAATAGCGGCAATGAACAAGGAAGGGAATTTTTAACAGAGAGAAGTTTTGGCGTATTTCAAATCAAGCTCTTGGCGTTATTGGCTTACCAAAATTGAGTGTCAGTCGGTGGCTGTGGGTTGTTTCGTTAGGGAAAGGGCAGTCCGGTGTGAGCGGCATAGGGCTTTGACCTAGTTCGATGTGGGGCAGAGTTCGTCATATTCTAATGTCAATCGGGATATGCACTATCCCCTAACCGGTACTCCGGTTTCCCCACTTTTAGCGCAGCACTAACATGGTGATCGGGAATAGCTAGGGCAGAATAAGGGAAGCTGGATCCATCCCTAAAGTGCTGCGAAATTCAGCCCTGTTTAAAATCGCCCATTTGTGGAATTGTGATATGGTAGGAAAAACTCTGTGGATCCCAACTGGAGTGGTGCTCAGTATAGCAAACTTTGTAAAAATCGGCATGGGGGGGCGGAAACCGGAGGGTTCATATAAACTAAACCCTACTTACTTGAAGAGGCACAGGTAAGAGGCAAGAAGTATAGGAAAAGCACATACTATGCCTGGTATGTTCCTTATTTTCAAAATAGCAATACTACACAATTAGGTGATAAGAGTTTCTCAGTGAATCAGAGCACCCAACACGATAATAGTTTATCACACGACTGGGTCTTTAAGGTAGGTGTGAACTAAAAGGACAATGGCAGGAAGTGAAACAGAAGGTGGAAACGGGGCTGGACCTGGAAAAATAGGAGAAAATGGTATGGGGCTGAGAGAAGTAACTGGCAAAGGAGTATTGGAGAAGAGGAAGAAAGTCAGGGATTGATGGAATGGGTCAGGGGCAGAATTAATAGATGAATGATTTAGAAAGGTAGAGAATCAAGAAATTTAATTGCAGGAGGTAAAGGGGATAAAGATTAAAGGAATAAGAAATAAATAAATAAAGAAAAAAGTATTAGAATCTCAATAGAAGTTGGTAAGTAAGAAGGAAGAAAGGAAGGGAAAAGAGAAGAAAAAGAAAGTAAGTAATATACTGATAGAGTTGGGTGACAGAAAGAATATAGAACAAAGTGGCTTAGGAGATAGTAAATTTGCAGAGTAGAGAAGGAGAAAAAGAGTAGGATTTTCAGAATAGGAAGAGAGGAAAAGATAGTGAGATAGATGTAGATGTTAGGGGGTAGGTAACCCTAAAGTCAAGCGAGTATACAGTAGGCCCACTATTCCTCTGTCTCAGAGATAGTCATGAAGGCTCATGAAGATAGAAGTAAAGTAGAACAAATATATTGATGAGACCTCTTCTCCCATTGCTGATGATAGACTTAAAGCTAGTTAATTTTTTTTTTTGTTTATCTTATTGATTATTTGTTTAGGGTACAAAAAATATATAGAGCGCTTGCTATAATGATAAAAAAACCCATATCCCTCCTCTCGCCACAGGAAAAAACCAAACCCCCAAGTCCCTCTGGTATAGAGCCAACTATACATCTTACTTCAAAGAAAGGAAACCTAAGCCTGGCTCAGGAGATGAAAAAAGAAATCGTAACTAAGAAGAAAGCAGGAAGGGCCAGGAAAACCTGCTAAGAAATCCCAAGAAATAAAAGAGAGATTAGTAGTAGGACAGGTAGGGCCCAGAGGGGCAGGTCCACTGAGATCAAGCGGTGAGCAATGCCTGAAGCTTGCTAAGATAGAAGGCCTACCTGTTCAAATATGTGGGTATGGCACTATCTTAGTAACTTTGTACGAAAGTACGACACAGTAGTAAGAGTATACTGCGGGCACGCTAAGCGAGGAGGAATTTTGTATGAGGTAGATTGGTAGTAGTTCTTGTCCTTAATTCTCTTAAGCGAGATGGGTGGTAACCCCTATTTATACAGGTGCGCATCCTTCGCGTAACTAAGAGGAAATGTAAGGGAAAACATAAGTGTCGACATGTTTGACCGTAACATAAGTAGGAAAAACATAAGTGCGAACGTGTTTGACCCTAAAGAACTGCCAAGGAAATCCCATAAAATATGCGTAAATCTAAGATGGTGTGAACGGATAATTAAAACATAATTGTAAATCAAATGACCAATGACCGTGCATGATAATGCATAAAATGTAAGAAATAAACGTGAACACCAGATAAGAAAAGCACGCCATAATCCCCTAATCATATCATGAAATATCAATGAAATATACGTAATAGATACTCCGCTGTAGTAATTTCCGTGAACTAGGAATAATACTAAGTAGAGGAATATACGATATTATCAAGGAGAATATAAATATGAAACGAATTAGAAAATTCAACACTTCCCCTCATTATCTACAGCCCAAAAGTCCCATTAATCGTTCGTGAGCCGGTTTCGCTAAGACTTTTGTGCAAATGTCGGCAAGGTTATCGGAGGAGGCAACCTTCAGGAGCGTGAACGAGTCATTATCGATTTCTTCTCGTATTTCGTAGTAGTGTATATCAATGTGTTTCGTTCTGTCATTTAGCTGATGGTTTCTCGCGAGGAAATTTGCACCGGTATTATCTGCATGTAAAGCGATCGGTAAGTCGAGATGGATATCTTTGAGACTCTTTAGGAACCATTGGATTTGTCTTGCGGCAAGTGACAATGCGACGTATTGGGCTTCGGTTGTTGATAGTGCGACCGAGTGTTGTTTCTTGGAGCGTCATGAGATGCATGCACGGTGGAGAAGTACAATATATCCCGAAATAAAACAGCGGGTATCGAGACAAGTAGCGAAGTCAGCGTCAATGTAGGTATCGATAGCGTTTGTCGCGTTATAAGGGTAGAAGAGTGCAATGTATTTCGTTGCGTTAACATATCGAAGGACGTGTTTAGCGGCCTTGAGGTTTGTTCGGTAGGGCAAGCGGAAAATTGGGAGAGGAAAGAAATAGTGTACGCTAGATCCGGTCTTGTACCAGTAGTCAGATACATAACTGATTCTATCATCGATTAGTAAATAGAGCGGTCTGGAATGCGTGTGTCTTCAGTTTCATTCGTAAATTGAATGCCTTTCGGTAAGGGTGTAGAAATGCTATTAGAGTTCTCCATTGAGAATCGTTTGAGGACTGACTTGATGTATTGCTCTTGGGTAAGATGTAGCACATCTGATGCATATGCAATGTGCAAGCCGAGTAAGAATGTGACTTCCCCTAGGTCTGTAATCTTGAATGCCGTTTTCAGGTCTTCCATGAGAGATGTAGCTTCTGGGGTGTCGGCTGCGTGGATAGCGATGTTGTCAACGTAAATCGAAACATAGATGTCGTGTTTATCGTGAACAAATATGCATGGGTCGTGGGATAATATCGTAAATCCTCTGGAGGTCTAGAATCTAGCAAAGAGAGCATACCATTCGTTTGCAGATTGCTTAAGTCCACAGAGACATCGGTTAAGTTTCCATACCTTGCCTTCGTCACCAAACCCACGTGACAGTCGCATGTAAACTTCTTCTTTCAATTCGCCGTAGAGGAAAGTGGATTTAATATCGAATTGTCGTGGTCACCACTTGTTTTTAGCACATATCGCGAGGAGGAAGCGCACAGATTCATAACGTATGACTGGGAGAAAGGTTTCTTCGAAGTCGAAGCCAGGGATTTGTCCAAATCCTTTACCGACAGGTCTTGCTCGATACCTTTCTGGTGTATCGTCACCCTTTCTTTTAACACTATAGACCCACTTACTTTCGATTATTTTCTGTCCAATCGGTTTATCGACAACATCAAAGGTTCCACTCTCCTCGAGCGCCAGAATTTCATAGTCCATTGCCGAGGTCCACTGGTCACAATAGGGGCTGTTTATAGCTTGGTGATAAGTGGTAGGATCCTCGTTGGGCATTTCAGTAGCATTTCTGCCCTATCGACCTGGTGGTCTGGAAACTCGTCCAGACCGAGTCCTTGTTCCTTCTGCGGGTTCAGCAGGTTGTTCTACTTCATCTGCAGGTGGGTCCGGAGTTGGAGAAGGAGGTGCGGGATTCTCGTAGTCTTCTGGATGTTCTGGTGGTGGAGGTGGATGTACTTCAACGTCAGGTAGTGGTAAAGGTTGGTCATCATCTTCCGTTTCTTGAGGCTTGTCGCGAGGCTGTGAAGCGGTCTGGAAAGAGGGAAGCGTGACGGTTGCAAAGGTCTCCGATGTATGGGTCAATTGTTTTGGATCCAACGGGCCAGTTGGGTCAAGCGGTATTGTTGTCTGGATTGTCCGATGGATTTGTCTGGTTTCCGAGATCCGATGTTGTGATAGTATATAGATCCGGTATATTTCGTCGGAGGAGGCAGTACCGACAAGATATCCTTCCAAGGCCTGTGGCTCTAGCTTCGTTCCAGGTTTTCTTTTCTCCTCTGGTATATGGACATATTATTTGGTCCCATATGGGCGCAAGTGGTTGATCAACTGCTTTGTTTTGTAGATAGGTTCATAGGGCGGTGAGTTTCCTATGGCTCGGTTAGGGAGTCGGTTCCTAAGGTAGACGGCGGTGGAGACTGCTTCAGCCCAAAGGCTAAGGGTAAGTCCAGTCAACATAGAGCGTGTCGATGTGATGATGGTACAGTTGTACCATTCGGCAACACCATTGGATTCATGTGAGTAAGGAGGGGTCTTATCATGCACAATACCATGCTTCCGAAAAATGGTAAGCATTTTGTCATTGATGTACTCGCCTCTGTTGTCAGTGCGGAATCTTTTGATGGTGGTGGAATCCTGGGTTGTTCTTTCCTTGATGAACTGTTCGAACACTTTTACCGTGTCAGACTTTGGTTTTAGGGTGTATATTCATGCATAGCGTGTATTGTCATCGATGAAGGTAACATAGTACCAGGAGTTGCCAATGGAGGGTTTTGAGAATCGTCCGCTCAGGTCGGAGTAAATTAATTCGAAAGGGGTGTCACATCATTTCTCTGTTGATTTGGGTTTTGACTTAGTTGACTTGGAGGTGATGCAGGTTTCGCATTGCCAGTCTTTTGGAACGGTAGGGATGGCGTGAGAGTCGGAGTAGTGGTCAGCTTTGAGGTATTGCGGCGATGGATGTCCAAGGACTTCGTGCCACTCTTTGTAAGTCATCTTGTTCGCTTTTTCCTTTTCCTCTTGCACAACATAGTCCTGTCCGTCAAGCTTCCCCCATAGAACCTCTGTTTTATTTTCCCTAAAAACATACATATCCTTTCCAGAACTCTACAAAGAAAAACCTTTTCGCAAAGAAACGATAGCGCACCACGAGAACAAGTTGCTAGAACCCAACTTCGGAACCCAAAGAACCCGTTGTAGAAAGACAGTCTGTCCGGCCATCAGATGTTTTGGCCTCAAGCTCCACTGTTCCACAGCCGCATGATTGCATTACCAAATTATTGCCTAACTTAACAGTGCCTGGTGAAGGTTCAAAGTGTATAAGAAGGTCTAGGTTCGAAGTCATGTGTGAGCTTGCGCCTGTATCGATAACCCATTGATTCGGGTAAGGGGTCTTTTGCGTAGGAGGTGAGGAGGTAGAGGTACTGACCGGTTTGGATGTCTCTTCTTTTCTGATCTTAGCCGAGTGTCTGGCTTTGTTCTTCTTTTGTTTTTCATTGTCGGCCTTGAGCTTATTATACTCATTCCAGGTGTGACCTTCACTGTGTGCAGCAGGCTAGCGCTTTTTGCAGTATGAGCATTGCTTCGTTTCGGCTGGTTGCCGTCGGACCGTATCGCGAGCCTTTTCCTTTCCTTTGACATCAGCGCTTTTATACGCCTTATCGTCCTCAGAATTAACCACAGATTTCAAGTCCAACAGTTTGTTGTAGACATGATTGTAGGTAAGGTCCTCCTTGGTTTGGAGGTTGTCAACAATGTTGCTCATCGACGGAGGCAGGGAACGGAGGCGAACAGCAGCTTTGGCTTCAGTTGACTCAAATACTGATTTAAAAACAAATGGTAGAGCATATCCGTCGGTTTCCG